GATCATTTCAATTCTAAAGTTTAACGTATCGGTCAATTTAAATTAAGCCTGTCCTCGGAGAGGGGGCATGTCCCCTACACCCATTAGTCCAACACCAATCACATTTGGCCCACGAACGTATCCCTTCCAAAAGAATTCAAAATATTTACCACGTGAGAATGTTAAYCACTGTACATTTGTTTTACCGACTCCACTCTTACGTAATGCTTCTGGTGCATGGTGTTTGGCATTGACTTGCAAGCATCATAGAGGTAAGTTGACTTTATTTAGACGTACTTGTCATCTTCTTTCTGAAGCAGAACTGTATTTTTGCAATTCCAACATACGAATATAAACTACAATTTATACTACATTTGYGGGCTCAAAAAACCTTTGATTCGTGAAAGGAAATGATGCGAATAGGATACTAAGATATGTGGCTAGCCCTGAGTAAATGAGTAAACTGACTATCAGCCTTCTGACAATATTCACAGTATTGATTCTACATTAGGTAAGATGTTGAATAATCCAAAAAAATATAGTTTGAGTGCGGCTTCTTGAAGTTATAAAGGTTTTTCCATGCCATATACTGATGCTTCAGATAAAATTAGGAAATCAAAAGGTTCAAGTGAACTACTTTTCCACGACGTTTCTGAAATGTTAAAGTGCCTATGACCCCTAACTCAATATTTTCAGCATTGATTCTACATGAAGTGAATAGTCGAATGGTGAAATATTTTCATACGATTTGAGTGATGCATCTTGGAGATGCTAATGAGTGTGATGTCATAGTAAGCATTGTTAAATATACGAAAATTTACTGGGATAGTAAAATATCCTGTATAAAACATAATTATCTTACTCAGGGTTTATAGAAAGGTTATTGCAAATTTGTTTTCTTATAGTAATCAGTGTTTTGATTTTAAAATGATGACAAATAAACCCAAATGCCTACTATGACATCACACTCATTAGCATACTGGAAGTACAAACCTTGATATCTCCAAGATGCATCACTCAAATCATATAAAAATATTTCACCATTCGACTATTCACTTCATCTAGAATCAATGCTGAAAGTTAGGGGTCAGGCACTTTAAATTTTTGCAAAATTTCTATGCTTCAAAATTTCAAGGTGTCAAAATAAAATGCTCTCACAGATGTTCTTAAAATTTTCTGAAACTTGAACAAAGTACTCATCCTCCAAGATCTCAGGCGCGATATTTAGAAACTTAGATCAAAAAAAGGGAGAAAATGTATGGTAAAGCAAACGCACCAATACTTAATAGCAGTTTTATATTAATTCCGATTTCTGTAAAAACATGCTCCTTCGAATTTTTTATCTTTCCTTAAAACTTCCAAAATATTTTTTCCCCCAATGAACTGTTACCGAGCGCGCCAAGAAAACCCCATGGATCCACTTTAAACCGACTCCGTCGTACACAGATCTTTGCACCATCATCAGTCTGCACCAATCAAACAAAGCCAAGTAGTCATTGTATTGACTGGAGGTTAAATGACGTCATAACGTATGACTATATATCTTTTAGTTACTTCAGTCCCCTCGTGACAAAAGCAAAGGCGCAGCTAGTGAAAGCGAGAGAACTGTAACTCAAMACTGTTACTGGAAAATATTAGTAAGTATTGCTAACTTTCTTGATTTTGGGTGTTTTACTATGATCAGCCTATAATGATATTGTTAATCGTGTGTTCTTAAACGAATTTTTATGCGTAAGCCGAACTCAGGATCCGTATATCAGGGACAGAGAGCGAAAAGTGCTGCATTGCTGTTTTGATCAAAACATTTGTTCTGTTTTTGTTTTTTTTCATTCTTTTTCTATTCTCTTTTTCCGTCAAAAAACATCAAGAAACGTTTTTCATTTAATGTTGATATAAGCCATCATCTTTCCACCCGTAACGTACCTGAGTTCATCACGCTTTTCATTTCGGTTTCCAAGAATTACAAGAAGGACAAGCGAACAATAACCRTATATGGCAAAGCTAACCTTGCTTGAAGCACAGGGATTCAAGACTCATCGTACGTGTGAAAATATAAATAATTACGGAAAATCAATAATGAAGAATCAGCTGCAGTATCATAACGTATCCG